CAATGCGACAGTATTCAATAAATTTGTCACTCGGATTTGCAACAGGTTAAGAAGTGCTCAAAGACTCAATTTGCTTGGGACTAATTATAAAGGGCTTATCAGCTTTAGTGTGTCTACTTTTTTACGTGTGCCTGTAACATTTTGCAAAAGCATTCGCGCTAATACGATATCGCTTGGGTTGCCCCCAGCATACTCTGCCGCAAAGCAAAACGTGAGGAAGCTACGTATATAGAAGTTTGAGCATCTTGATAAGCGTAATGAGAAGTGTGCGCCGGTGCGCCTGCCTCCCCCGCCCCCCGCGCGGGGCCCCGGCGGCCCCAGCCCGGGGCCCTCGGCCGGGCGCCGCCCCGCTGTGACCCGTGGGCCCCCGTGGACCCTCGCCGGCCCCGCGCCGGGCCCCTTTAAGCCCCTCTCGGGGTCCCGGTCCCCCACAGGGTCCCCCTGGTCCCCCGCGGTGCGCCGGCCGGTATAGGTGTGCTGTTACTCAGCACGTTTGTTGGTACACTCGGGAAAATTATGGCGATGCAATTAAAAGGTAGTGGGATGCCCCCTCGTAACGTTATGTCCACAACGCTGCTCTAGGTGGGGGAGGGGGGGGGGGGTCAAAGGTCACGCTGGCTGGTGATTGGCTCAGTTACGCCCTTGTCCTGTCCAGCGTCTAAGTCTCTGCACCTTGACCTCCACCACAGCGCGATCAAAAACGTTCTTGTTTTATGCCGATCAATGTTCTGTCTGTGATATTGAAAGCACCGCCCCACTCGGATATAAACGGGCGCTGAAGGTGTTCCAAGTGACAACGGAGTGCCCCGTGACAATCCTTGCGTTTTTTACGACGTTCCTCGGAATCGGTTTAATGTGGAGTGAAAGAAGGAGTGCTCGCCTCCGCGAGTGTGTTGTACGTGTATGATTGTGTATGTGTGTCTGTGTGAGTGGGTCCAGCGACGGGAGGCTGCTGGAGCGAAGGATGAAAGAGGGATGCTGGCCGTCCCCAGATTTCTATAGGGCTCGTGTCCAACAAAAGAATGTCGATTCAAGTTTTGAAATTGCTCTTTTATGCCTCTTGGACACAGGCGACGCAGACCGGCTGCGGATTTATCCCCGCTCCCGCCGCTCCCTCCTCGAAGGGCGTGCGGGCGTGCACCATGTCTTGAATTTCAATCTCGCAGAATTTATTGCCAAATTCGGCTCGATTTTGACTCTGCTTTGCGCTGCGGCGTTGCGTGCCCTCCCCTCTCAATTTGAGTGTGCTTGATGGCGTAGTATACACGACCGCTAATGTTGTTGTTCTTGTCTGTTCCAGGGTGTAAAAGTTTCTTCAAGAGGAGTGTACGGAGGAATCTCACGTACTCTTGCCGGGGGAACAGGAACTGTCCGATAGACCAGCACCACAGAAACCAGTGCCAGTACTGCAGACTCAAGAAATGTTTAAAGATGGGCATGCGGAGGGAAGGTGAGTGGAATCTTTTCCTGTTTATTGGCTGCGCCTTGGGTCCCGCTGCTGGCCGCGCCGGCCCGGTCATTTGGACGAAAGAGAAAGTGCTG